TAACAGTTCATTTGTCAAATCCATTAATATGTGTGCGTGCGTGTGTGTGTGCGTGCGTACGCGTGTGCGTGCGTGCGTGCATGCGCGCGTGCGCACGTGTGTGTGTGTGTGTGTGTGTGTGTGTGTGCGTGCGTATACAAGTTAGAAAGATGAAAGATTCGAGACATGTAGGACGGCCTGTGTTTCGTGTCTCGGCCGTCGGCGCACGTCGGCTGCCGACCAGTACCGCGCCGATGACGCGTGTAATCTACGTGCGTGCCGACATTCTACTCATGACGATCTCGCTGGTGGTTGTCCCGTCGCCGGGGCCTTGGGCCTACGCCATCAGTGTAAAATAATGTCGAAAATTATTACTCAAAGACGTGACCTAAGCCTCAATTCCTTCGCTATCATTGTCAGCAATAGATCATCAGATTACCGTATTGAGTAGCAGCATGTGTTACTAACGTAGTGAGTAGTACCGTATCGAGTAGCGAGCAGTAGATCACCGTAGATCACCGTACAACACCGCACATCAAACGTCATGCACTTTGGCAATGTCTCTTAGCTTCGTAGCAATTTCGATTCGGTTCGGTAAGTACACAGTGACTCACGTATTCACATGGCAACGTTTTTATCCGGTGGCCATGCTAGTACGAAGTGTGGACCATGACCGAGTTTCGTCATTTGCCGGACAGCACTGCTTGTGAAGTGTTGCACCGAACCGCTCCCCGTTTGTGCTATTCAGGTATACCTCCATCATGCCGTCGTTTCCCAACATGTCTACCGTCGACACGAAGCTTGTTGTAGTCGGAGTAGCGGCAACGGCTGCCGTTGGCATAACAACGTACGCGTTATACTTATGGAGATGGAGGAAAAAGAAACTGGCAGGCCTCAAGACAGTGAAATTTGGAGGGTTTAACATGTACGAAGCTCCTGGCACATGTAAGTATAGGATCGCGCAATGCTGCAGTAACTTTTTACAAGAATAAGACCGGTTATGCAGCGTGGATTTTGTGACAGAATAGAGGGAATATTACGGCACACTGTAAGGGGGAATAGCTTTCGCAATCGCTTAATTGCTTCTTCGCTATCTATATGTGCGTGGGTAATATTACCAGGAGTCTATAAAAATCGGATATTACCAGGAATACATGAATAAAATATCGCTCATTTATGTACTCCTGGTCCGAGATATTGTGCAGCATTGCATCGTACCGATAATGTCATTGCTGTGGTTTGTGTGTTACAGCAATTTATGTCCCGGAAGATCACATACTCAGATTGGAGGAAAATAACAACTTCGAGATTCGTTCAGACGACATCTGGGTCATTACGTACCCTAAGTGTGGTAGGTTTTGTTGACCAGGACTCACTGTCATGTGTTCACAAGATTAGTACAGAACAAGATGAATGGCAGGACGCTGTCACCCAAGTGAAATATTGAGATACACTATAGAGTACACCTACTTCTGGTCGGGCCACTTCTATTTAAGCACGTAAGGTCGACCGAGTAGCATTGCCTTGAAGCGAAAACACGCCGAACGACCCGCACATCATTTCCCTATTATAGGCCTACATAAGTATGGGGCGAAGTGAGTGGCGAAGCGCTGCCCCATGTGAAATATTGAGATTGGAATTTGCACCGCACATCTAATTGTGGTCGTGGCCTCTCTGTTCCCCGTCATAAATCCCTATGCTGACGTTGTCAAATACGTCACTATGTCCAGGTACCACGTGGACGCAGGAAATCGTCTGGCTCGTATGCAACAACGCCGACACGGAAACGGCCAACGACGTAGAACTGGATACACGCTTTCCGTTCTTTGAGTATCCGTTCACTAATCGGAGGCCTGCGATCAGAAAGATGCCTTCGCCACGTCTAATTAAGAGCCACCTCGCAATACCTGTACTGCCTCACCAGATAAGGGAAAAGAAGCCAAAGGTAAGCCAAGAGTCACTGTACTACGTTCTTCTAGAGTAGTACTCCCGTGTACTCGCTATGATGTTCCTCACTTAGCAGCCAGCAACATTGCGTCTATTACTGAATGATAGCCTCTATAGGGGAGAAATATTTAGTCTGTGACCATCCGAATTCTTAGATCAGCTCCGAATTTTAATCACCGCGTTAATCACGTGTGCCTCCCTGCAGATCGTTTACACGATGAGAAATCCGAAGGACACATGCGTTTCAATGTACCACTTCATAAAGATGCTGTCGCCCATCAACTACAAAGGCAATTTCGAGGAGTTTACAAAGGAGTTCTTCATGGGTGTCACTGGTAAGGGTATCTCGTCTTCAGTAATCACACTCAAAGCTCTAATTGAAGCAGTTACATACACTTCATCGACATAGTCATGCATATTGTCGTTTTATTGCCCACGCCGGTTAACATATGTAACCCTCGACATCATTTGCAGTTGGTCACGGATCTTTTTGGGACCATCATCTTGACTACTGGAGGCTAAGAGACGAACCGAATATGCTTCTGCTAAAGTATGAAGACATGATTACGGTAAATCTCACTTCAGTATTTAGGTTCCTACAAACTAATACACGGCGGGATGATGATATCCTCCCCTAAGATCAGTCAAGAGTACAGTCAAAAATGCAAAATTATAAAACTGATTACAATGTTTACACTATGCAATACTTCATTTGGTTTATATGCTAAGAGTTACCATATTCCATGCAACATCAAACCCTTATGAACAAATTCACACAAATTCTGTTACTTGGCGATATTATGAACCTAGGATTTGAACAAGGAGGTGAAGAAGATAGCGGCATTCCTGGACAAGGAGCTAACTGAGGAGCAGGTGCAAACCATCGTCGAACACTGCACGTTCAAGACGATGAAGAACAATTCTTCAAGCAACCAATCTCATATGCAGAACATGGGACTCATGAGAGCTGGGATGGGCAATTTCATGCGCAAAGGTGAGCAAACGCGCAGTCATTGGTTGTGTGTAACCGTGTTCATTTCATAGCAAGGCAAGATATCAGCAGCAGCAATAACGATACACGCCGGGCGTATTCAGATGAGCATAGACGCTATGCGCCGCTAGTTTACTAGTTTGTTGAGACAATACTTCTACAATCTTAAATTCTTCTCAATTTCCAAAGGGAAAGTTGGAGACTGGAAGAATCACTTTACTCCCGAGCTGAACGAAATGGTGGACCAACTGAACAAGAAGTGGCTGGAGCCTGATGGACTAACGTTCGACTACGAATAAACACTACATTGAATGCACTCACAGTAATATATAATGATAATAATTAGACAGTGATCCTACCATGGTCAAGCAAGTAAATCGGCCTATATTCATCCATATTTAATTAGACATATAAACTGACAGGAACCACGTAGATACGCCAATTTAATGTGACGTCACTACAACGCAGAAGCCAGTGAATCGCCAATTAGATGATGTTCTCTAACGAGGCAAGTGATACCTATGCTCTTGCTGGGTTAGCTCTGCTTACGTAGTCTTGGCCTTCGTCCATGGAGCGAGGCGAAGGTACAAAAGAAGAATCATGGGCTAGACAATTTAGTCCCTGAACAAGGGTTGTATTTGATAGGGACAAGGCACAAGTAGTCACGCCAAAACTGACACACATTGCCTGATTGCCACGTTAAAAACATGTAACGCAAGCAATAGTATCGTCCACAAATAGCGGGAAGGTAAATATGGCCAAGTTAGAAGACAACGAACACAAGATGATTAATTAGCAATTATATATATTATATATAATATATATATATATAATATATATATATATATAATACAATTAGCAATTATATATAAATTTATTAGTGTTGGCTTGTTAGTGTGATGTAGTAAAGACGTCGTTTTGCGGGCTTTGGAATATCGGCAGTGGTAATTGTGCTATAGTGATCGCGAACAAAACACATTTAATCGCATTAAAATGCCTGACGCTGCATCGTGATGAAATCATTATAATAACTATCAATATATAACACTGTATTATCATATGAAATAGAATAGAAATAACATATTAATTTAGCAATAATATGGAAATTAATAGCGTAATGTTAAGCTTACAGAAGGCTAGCCCATGATAAGGTGCCATGTCTTCCAGAGTTTACCTATAGCATATATTATCAGATGTATGTTCGTGCATACCTGCGATACAGTGGCTGTATATCGAGTGCCGATACAAAGCCGTATATAATTATTCATTGTTTCAACCTTATTTTATTACAACTTAACGATAGCTACACTCAATAAATTGCTTCTAGAATATTAGTATAGATGTCTACGAATCGTTTGAGCTATTTCTTGAATAAATTGGATGAATATTATTGAAATTATAGCCAAAACCCTAAGATTGTAGCCATAATGCAATAACCGTTAACACGCCAGGGGCGCTGTACGCTTCAGGACCTCATGAAGCACGCGAGTGCAAAGTTTCACAATTATAACCAAAAGTGCACCACAATCCATGTGCTTATTTGCTGGACTATAAAAAGGAATCAAATTCCGTTGATATCATGCACTTAAAAATTGAGAGGTCACATGCACTCCGCAGACATACTTGTCTCTTTCAATATCTCACTGATAAGGCACCCAACGACCAGAATTTTCTCTACACTATAGTATTGGTAGGTTCGGATTAGAGTCCCTTTATAGACTTTTCTCAACAAGTGCCGCAGAGCGACAGCGCTCAACTGATGTGTACTGTAGCCAGGTATTCTTCTGATAAACTCACTGGCAACCGAATTAAGTGCGCCCTCCTGCCACCGCGTTCGCGCTCAGAGCATATATCTAGGATACTACTAATACAGATCTAAAATCTATGATAGGCTATACCTACTGGTAATACAGTAGTAAAGATACAGCTGTGTAACTCTAATGACTTCGCTATGTTATCAAGGATATGTTCGCCCATGTATCAAGGATATGCGTCGAGCGCGAGCGTAGTGGTGGTGGTGGGGGAGGGTAGGGGAAGGGGCGGGGAGGGGGGAGAGGGAGGGTAGGGGGAAAGGGCTCTAATAGCAAAAGCAGTTCAGTCCTTTGTTAACAGTCAACAAATCCATGTTTAACCCTCCTCTTGAGGGTCAAAAGGTTATCCGACACTAAATCTTCGATGTCAGCGGAAAGTACATTTCATGGTCCTTTCAATAAAGCCATAAAAATGGTAGTCACCGCTGAAACAAAAAGTTTTTCGATCGCTCCGTCAGACCATGTCCTCAGAAATGTCTAAAAATCTGCCCTGTGCCCCATTGACCTTTGACCTGTGACCTCCAATTCCGGCACAGTGATGGCTTTTCCTACCATGATGCTATACACCGACTATCACGAGCCTAGGTCGAGCCGTTTAGATTTGTGCCGCAATTCTGCATTTTCTCCCTATACCTTAAGTTAAGGAGGGAATGTTTCCCCTTCTTTTACACCTCTTGACATTTGACCTTTGACCCCCAGCTTCGACATCCCAACTCGTTTTCAAATTACCCCCCACGCCCCCAATATCGTGACCGTACGTCGAGCGGTTAAGATTTGTGCCCAACTGTTGACGGACGCACGGAGCTCGGACGGACGGACGCACGGACGGACGCACGGACAATCATGCGATTCTACAAGCTGCATCTGACTATGTCAGATGAGCTAATAAAGGGACTCTAGTTCGGATGTGCGTTTATCATTGCCCGATTGGTATCTGCCATCCAGAAATGCTATTCTGATATTTTACATTCAATGGCAGCGGATATACTCCGCAGTAGGTTGAATTGGAAAATGTCTATCCTAACCAGGAAGGTCTTCGAACTTTCTCATACCAGAGTATAGGCTTAGATGTATGTTTTCGGCGAATATATACAGACGTACGCACGCACGCACGCACGCACGCACGCACGCACACGCACGCACACACGTAGACAGTCTTTACAATTTGAATATACAATTACATTGCATCAATTCATTACAATTCTTACAACTGTATAATCCGAACAAACGTTGTTTTTTTTTAAATTTTATTCAAATATTGTGACTGTTTTCCAAATTTCTCTCGCAAGCCTACTAACAATCAACAAAAACAAATATTCTATCCAGATCAGATGTATTGTCTACGTAGTATATATTTTGTTCACCATTTAAAAAGACTATTAGAGTTTAACACGAACATGATTATATTAAGCGAGTGGTATTAGGTCTGTTATATCGTTCGCAGTATCGTTCGCAAAAGCAGAGAGGACGTACGTTCATTTATTCATTATTTCGTTTACTGTCTGCTTTTTTCTAGAAGGCACAGGTGGTAATAGTCAATTTTGAGTCATGCCAGCATAGTTCCTATAAAGTCGCGAGCCTCAGCTAACACCTTCAAGGAAATGTATCAATACGTACAAAGCGATGCCGACCATGGAATATCCAAAGCAAATATAGCATGCAGCGTGTCAGTTGGTGCAAACATATTTGTCATCGTCTAGTTACATTCATATATCGTTCACAACACTAGTGAACGCAATTGTTTCCCTATCGTAAATCCAGCGCATTAGTACCAATACATGAACATCTAAAATTAAGAGAATGATTTCTTCATTAACGTTGAATGCTCACACTAGAAGCACCTAACCAGCAGATGCCTTCTTTATGCGACTTTTCTAAACAATTCAAAGTAAAAACGTCACAATTTTATTATAATTCGGTAGCTAGACCGAACTACGTTCAGATAAAACTAACGGCACAGATCAGAGATTTAAATTACCCAAGTGTCGTCTACACTGGTTTCAGCCGAAGCTAAATATAAGGTCTTAAACGCATAGACGTCGTCCCATCTGATCCTATCGACATAATGTCATCGTGTCAGCTATGTGAGAACTACAGAATTACATACACGCTCTTACACGAATCGGCTATATACATACTCAGTGAAGCTGCATATCAAAATAGCGAGTACATTTTGATTCTTGCACATACACTATTAAACGTCGTTTTTACTAAGACCGGACCAAAGGCGCGAGTTTGCAAGATAAATTCGAGATAAGATTGGAAAGGATTGGAAAGAATTGGAAAGGCATCGTAGCAGACGAATTTGTTTACAGACCCCAAGAAAATCAGCAATGTCTAGACTTTATATTGATATCTGACCTACTCACTGGGTTTTCGCGCATATCTAGAATAGACAAGTAATGGAGTAAGCTGGAGGATATGCATATTCGTCTGCAGATGATCTTGGATTCACTGAAAGCATATTCTTAGAAACTCACACTCACACTATTTGTATCTCTCACAAAAAGTAAGTTAATGGTGCCATCCTGACCAATTCAAATAAAATTAATCAATCATTCAAACCTGATCCCTTAAAAGGTTGCCTAAAACTTGATCCATCAAAAACGTAACCAGTAAGAGATTTTAAAACGTACACACGCAAATATACATAATGACAATAATAAACGAAGCAACAACATTATGAGTTGTTTTTTTACATTACATCGAAACGCAAGCGCTTATATGTTGGTAAATACACAGTCAAGGTAATATATATGCATACATGATCAAACCAACTAAAAGTGAGCACAACCTAGGCATATTAAAACTTATAATAAAATAAAATGCGTAGATTTCACAAATTGGCTCATAAATACTTTTGGGTAACAATATACGAAGCACGGGATGAAACGCAACCACGTTGCTATCCTAGTGTGCAAGCAAACCCGCACTCCAAGCATGATACTATAACCAATGTATATAGCATTATGATATAGATGGCAGCCAAAATGGACACGGAAATTACCTGCCAGTCACAAACTGACAGTCACCACTCACGTTAGTTTTAGTCCACACATTCCATTTGTAATTCCAGACTAGTGTCTCTGCCAGCAAAAGCGAGGGGAGTGAATCTAGACTCGCCAATCGATTCTAGTGACAATTAGCCATCCGGCATATTAACCTCTTGCTGGAAACCGGCAATATGGCCGAAAACCCAGCATCGAGGAGTTCTTCTCTTACTACAGCGCCACGAACACTCGAAACAATAAAATACAAAGATAGTATAACTCGTGTGATTCAAGCGATAAGTAAGCAACGATATAATACATCAAAAACTTCCAAACAAATCGATCACATCAGAAGATCCATCCATCTATCGGTGTCCTTCAGAAACTAGTATAATTAATGTTTCACTGTACACAGTGTCACTGTATAGTATGGCTGGAATGTTCACAACTCAATTTCTAGGTCCTATTGTAATAATAAAATATAGCTGCAAGACCATTCTGATACTAATGTATAACAAGCATCCAACCAGCAAAGGATTCTGTGCTGTATACTTTAATGAAACGAATTGAAGGGCTGAAATTAAATTCCAGTAATGCCACCATGGCATGCACATCGAATATTAGTACAACAATGCTGCTAATATTTTCATAATGCAGTGGTAGGATTTTCTTAAAGCCCAAGCACTATAAGAATCGTATCAGCAAGGTTTATGCTGGATTGTCATCACGTTGCCAAACGGACACTTGATAATACATAAAAATACCTCATGTTTCTACTGAGATCTGAGAACAAAGAATAGTGTAAACCTATTAAAAAATCGCGCAAAAAGCAGCCAACTTAGCTACGGGTTCCTGCCAGCTGAGGCTAGCATGCGTTCTGACAGCAAGAGACGGCCCACAGCGTGGCACGAGACCGAGAGCTCAACCTCGATGAAACGTGCCAAGAATCGGCCGAAAGTGAGCTGTCGACGACCGCCTTTTGCTTGTCTATCCCACATTGTGTCTGCTGGATTTTCAGTGCTGTGCTACAGTCGGAAAAACACCCTGCGAGATTCCACGTAACGTATCTCGCCAGTTTTCCCCTGAGCCGGATCCTCGGATGCTCCTGCGCGGACACCAGACGTCAGAACAAGTCGGCTTCCGGCTCGACCTGCTTCGCAGCACTACAGCCACCGGGCGCATGGCGGTGCGGAACAGGCACATCCCCACCACCTGTCTTCGCCTTCGGGGACCAGACTCGAAACGAGAGTTTGGAGACGCACTCACAACGCCGGTATTTCTGGCGTCGCAACGACAACACCAGCGCCTGCCCGGCTCCCCCAGGGGACGACCGCTACAGATGTGGCGCCCCCTTGCAGCGTTCCGCACGGCGACCAATCAGGCTCGTGCGACCCAACAGAAACACCTTCGCCCGAGGGATAACGACAGAGCGATGCCTCCGCTGACGCAAAACGGCAGCGCTCCTGCGTCTCGACACGAGCGCGAGCGGCAAAACGCGCTCGACCACGCCCTGCCTTGGTAGCGATCGGTGGGGATGCATTCGTAGCGATTGGTCGACGCGTACGTCGCGCTCGCGCGCGCGCGGGGCTTAGCAGCGCTGGTAGGAGCCGTGCACGGAGGCGATGCCGCGTCGGTAGTCCACCTCCATCTCGTCGCACCACACATAGTCGTCCTTCAGCTCGATCGTGTAGTAGGGGTTCTGCCGCTGCATGCCGTCGCGGCGCTTGTAGTAGACGAAGCCGCCGACAAGCACGACGAAGATCGAGCACATGACGACGATGCCGGCGAGAATGCCCGGCGTCGAGCCGTCCACCGACATCGCCTCCGCTGCGAGAAGCCATCGAAATCATCAATTGTAATTAATTATAATATATAATATATATTATAATATATTTATGTATATATATATTATAATATATTTATGTATATATATATTATAATATATATTATTAATTATAATTAATCATATTATCTTTTTCGATATTAATTATTGTGGTAATTATTTAAATCAAATTATTACGTAAATTTATATTGAATGTATGAATTATCGTTCATAAGAAAGATGCGTGACGTGGTTTTACTGGCACAACCAGGAAATGATATCATCGGATTTCTTTCCGGATATTAATTATGGATCTATATAGTCTCCATGAATACATACACATGTATTTTGTATATCATAAATATATTATATAATAATAACAAACTTACAAATAATTATTATCATATCAACTAACTTTGCTCTCCGTTTTAGACATACAGTAAGTCTCTACAGTACAGTATACAATACGTAGAGCAGCAATGCAACAAGCTCACGTTTATATTACTTACTTCACAGGGATAGAAATCAATAGGTACTAACCAAGAACGCAGGGGATGCCTGCAGCCGGATTTCCCGCATATCCGACGTCACACACTTCGCAGCTGCTGCCTCTGGTGTGATTCGCACACTTCAGACACCATCCTGGAAGTAATCAAATCAAGTTATAAAAGATTGATCTGTAGAGAAGACCGTATAGCACTAAGTTGTAAAGACATCGCACGTCAAACACTTGGTATCATCCTATGGAGCCAACATCCTCGCCATAGGGTATTAGCATGTACTAGAAACAGTAGCAAGATCCAGATAACTAATACAGTGTGTGACCCTTCAATCTACAGCAACGAATAGGAGTCAATGCCTATCATAACCACCGTACCAGTCCAGTAGTTGCCTCTCTCGCCCTTAGGAGACCAAAGACCACAACGTAAATAAGACTGTCATTCTTCACGTGTATTTACTTATGCTTGGTAGTTGCCTAGGTACTTATTACCTCCGCCAAGGGGTTGGCAGGAGGTTATGTTTCACGGCGTGTGTGTTTTTGTTGGCTTGGTGGGTTTTGCGTGTACAGCCTAACTGAAAAAGTTTATGGAGATTGTCATAAAATTTTCAGGATAGGTCAGAAATGGGCTAACTTAGAAATTGATTAGATTTTTGTGGTGATCGGATCCAATTAATTAATAAATAAAATTTTCAGGATAGTGTAGAAATGGGGTAACTTAGAATTGATTACATTTTGGTGTGATCGGATTCAATTAATTAATTAATTAATTAATTAATTAATGAAATTTCAGGAAGGTCAGAAATGGGGTAACTTAGAATTGATGACATTTTGGTGATGATCCAGATCCTATTATTAATTAATTAAAAATTTTTCCAGTGAGAGAATTGAGCTGCCTTGGCGGAGGGTCTGGCTCTCCGAGTCTCTAGTTTTTATTTTTACAACTGCAGAGGGCCACTCACGGGAGAGTGCATTACCTCCGGCGAGGCATGTAACAATAGGGGATATGGGATGTAACGAGCTGGCTCGCGGCGGTCGCTGCTGGCTGTCCGCTGACTGACTTGCCTGCCTGCTGACTCGCGCTCGCTGCTGGTGTTGCTGCTGAACTCACTCTGCCTGCTTGCTGACTCGCCGCTTCGCTGACTCGAAGCTGGTATGATCGCGGCCGCGCGGGCTGGACACAACACAACACGACCACACACACGACGATTACATTACCTCCCCTGCCAAACTCCGTTGCGCGGAGGTAAATATCCTTTTCGTAACGTTTGTGTAGACAGGTAGAACTGTTTCACCAGTGCACAGAAGCCTGCCATCGTTTTACACCCTAATGCTCGCTACTGGCGTGCAAGTGGTACATTACAGTTTTGTCTCGATTAAATCCCCACTGTGACTATTATGCGGCAAGAGTTTGACAGCCACTTGCCCATCGTATCTGAACGTCAGCTCTGGGGAAACAAAGAGCTGCACTCAAATGAATTACTCAACGTTCGTTCACTCGACACGACTGTGATACAGGCTCTTGTCATCCAAATAGCACATGATAACGTAGCGCAATCCGTTCGAAACTAACCGCAACTGCTTGAATATGCATGCCTTGAATATGCAATTTGCATTTGTGCAAATAATGTGAATTTTGCAATAACATGCTTGTGTGGCTACAAACAGGATAAATCACAGCGCATCTCCTCTGCACAATGCTGCAAGGCTTATTATCTGCTAATGCAATATTGAAACGTCTGAGGCATGAACGTCAGAAAAACTTTAAATACATTGAGAAAAAATAGCTAACGTACAAGTATTGATGTGATTTCCATCTCGGCCCCTGATTGCAAGCATTAAGTCAACTTCCAAACTTCATTAGCGTCTGGTGGTCAGACGCTTACAAGCAGGCAGCAATATTTTAAGATATTTTATCATATCAGCTACTGACATAATTTCCAAGGTAATGACCTAATTCTAAGTAGCCGAATGCATGTATGACCGATTTGCCCACTCAACATACCGGTTTGGTTGTTCACAACGCGTACAAGCGTGATAGTACCTATACAACACCGCGAAGGCAAGAATGGCACACCTTTGTGCGCACACGGACCGCACACAACAGCGCTTGCGCACTGGCAGTTGCTATCCTACGTCATAAATATAAATAGAACTCTATTTACATCTATGTAGGGCCTACTGCGGTGCATGAGCGAGAGTGAGTGGTGCATGGACGACTGACAGAGGGAACAGGGGACATGTCGATATAGAAGCCTGCCATTTGCTTTCGCCAAGCCTGCGGACACAAATACAGGCTAACATAAAGCTGACCCTCGGCTATCAATGCACGTCTTGTAACGAAATACGCAGAAAAAACTCTAGCATCGCCAAAGGCTCACCGTTACGGACAGTATATATACTTATAAACGCACTCTCTACCGTCACGGAACATTGATCTGAACTGAGGACGAAGCCAAATTTTCTAAAACGGGGTCGACTGCGCCTTTTGTTGCACATACATAGCAAGTCGGCTATTTTCACTTGCATTGTGCAACGCGTAAACGCAGCAGCCAGAAATCTGTTGGGGGACTCAACAAGGTAGGTGTGGATACAAGTAACCCATAGTTTTACTTAGCACTATACTGTAGATTTCAGCGCATGTATAAAAGATTGATCTGTAGAGAAGACCGTATAGCACTAAGTTATAAAGACATCGCACGTCAAACACTTGGTATCATCATGGTATCATCCTATGGAGCCCAACATCCTCGCCATAGGGTATTAGCATGTACTAGAAACACGATTACATATACGACTACGTAAGTGTATGTTCGCTTACACACGAGTAAAAATATCATTATGAAGTGAAGAGAAACAATGGTAGGATTAAGTTAACGCTCCCATGCAAAGCACACGCCCCCTCCCCTGTTAGCAAGATCCAGATAACTAATACAGTGTGTGTACCCTTCAATCTACACGACGAATAGGAGTCAATGCCTATCATAACCACCGTACCAGTCCAGTAGTGCTCTCGCCCTTAGGGACCAAAGACCACAACGTAAATAAGACTGTCATTCTTCACGTGTATTTACTTATGCTTGGTAGTTACCTAGGTACTTATTTTATTTACAAATATCCTTTTCGTAACGTTTGTGTAGACAGGTAGAACTGTTTCACCAGTGCACCGAAGCCTGCCATCGTTTTGTATGCAGGCATAGTTTGCTGACTAACGATGACTAAGCGTGGCCCTAAGATTTTGAACATCTTATACGTACTGATATTGAGATGATACTGATATTGATACAAATATGAATTGGCACATCCATGCACATTCCAGCAAATTAGTCGTCAGTGTGTAGTAATGCCTCTGAAGTAATTTCTGCCAGTTTATCAAAGCTACACCTTGACTCATCCACTATCCTCGTTATGGCCCCCGGTCAATTATAATTGATTGCAATTGCAATCACATATAATTCCTACCTACAGTTGATCAGTGGCTCTTTTCGTGTTACTGTACCTTGACCTTTAGTTCTACCCACGCAGCTTTTCACTCTGGTTCGCCTATGTGGTGGAGCAAAAGACTACATGGGTAGAGCTATTTAACCTTGGAGACTACACCACAGGTCATTTCACTGTATTTACACTGCATCCTGTTATCTGCCCATGCCCCATGATTAGCAGGCGAATCATGAGGTGAAGTTCAGTGTGACTATGACCGATATTTCACCATTTGCCGCACAGCGCAGCTTGTGAGGTGTTGCACCGAACCGCTCCACGTTTCTACTAGTACTATTCAGACGAAGGCTGTTCACAGGCACCTCCACGATGCCGTCGCTTCCCAACATGTCTACCATCGACACGAAGCTTGTGGTAGTCGGAGTAGCGGCAACGGCTGCCGTTGGCATAGCAACGTACGCGTTATACTTACGGAGACAGAGGCAAAAGATGTTGGCAGGCCTGAAGGCAATAGATTTTGGCGGTCAAAATTGGTATGAAGCTCCAGGCACAAGTAAGTAAGCTGAACGTAACGCTGCCAATCTGTTTTCACAGTAGAAGCAAGACCGTTTGGATTCTGTAACGCACTATGAGAAAAGTCAGTAAAACTAAAAGGTGTAGTTTCGAGAGACTTTACTGTCATTAAAATGGATGAAGAATTTTAATTGAACATTAATCCTCTGCTGCTTCGTTATATATGCGTAGTTGACATTACTGTATTAAATACCCAAGTAGGGTCGTATGTATCCCTGATAATTAGCCCATAATAAATTTAGACTAATTTCTATCGGTGTCGTTTGTACGTTACAGCAATTTACGTCTCAGAAGATCACATATTGAGATTGGAGGAAACAAACAACTTCGAGATTCGTTCAGACGACATCTGGGTCATTACGTACCCTAAGTGTGGTGAGTTGTCATCTAACCAGCACGCACTGTAGAGTTCTAACAGCATACACATTTAGCTCGCAGAATTGAACTTGCCTGTCTAATCTGATGACATTTCAAATGTAATTGAAACCCTATACGATATCGCTCAGGTAATAGTTATTTATATTAGTTTTACAGATTGAACAGTGGCAATATGATGTAATAGGGTAAACTGCTTATATATATGCGTATATGTACGTAACCACTTCCCTTGATCAAACTCTACTATCAGGGCCGGGGGGGGGGGCAGTGGCGGATCCAGGATTTCAAGGAGGGGGTGAGAAACAGGTGGAGGGTCT